TATAAAATATCTTCTTGAAGGAAAATTTTTTTTTCCAAAATGTAACTCCAGCCCCATTTACGTTACAAAGAAAAAGGTACCTAGCGGAGTTAAATATTTTTGTGTATTTTATTTGCAGGATACGAACGATTCGCTTTTAACATTTTATATAAACTTTATTATATAAAATTTTACAAACATATTTTAGATATGCTTTATAATTTAATTTACCTTTTTTTTAAAAATGATCGCTATTTTTTTTCAAATTATAGTTCCTTGGTATATTGTATACATATATATTAGTGTTGTTAAAGTAACTAGTTATTTGTAACTTAAAAAATCACTGTAACTAGTTATATTTTAAAAATTGTAACCAGTTATGTTTTTACCAATGTAACTAGTAACTATTTATGTTTCAAAAGTAACATTAACAACACTTAATATATATATATAATTAATAAATTTGAAATATATTATTTTTATTATAATAATAATAATATAGATGGCGTCAAATGAGCGGGGTTTTAATCGGATTCTAACCGGAAATGCATTTCATCGTGTTTAGAGTAATACCTATAATATACGAATTTCGGGACAATTTTGGATACGTACCTTTTTGGACTTAATATAATTTATAATAGTTTTTTTCTATAGAATTGTTTTTAAATGTAAATTATAAATGATTCCAAGATATAAAGGGCAAAATTGTCTACAAATTCATATGATTAGGTATTCTAAATATGCTAAGATACATTTCCGGTTAGAATCATGTTGTAATTGTGGAAACATTCAAATTTACTGGATTAAGAAAAACGCCAGACAGGCAAATTACTTTTAAACAAAATTACGAAGCCGAAAGATATTCAAATCTACTCAAGAAAAAAGAATTAAATTTCGATACAAATTGAGATTATGCAAATGTTGATTAAAGAAAAAGGATATATAATGGAAAAATTATGATGCGAAAAATGATGGTTAAATTATTATTTTTAACTTAAATTTACGTTTTAATTTTTTAATCTTTTATTTTTATATTAATTTTAATTTTATTTTGATTATGTTTTTAACTTTGTATTTAATTATAGATTCAACTATAATTTTAGTATATATTTCTTTTTATATTTAGGTTTTGATTTCCAATGTCAAATAACTCAATTGTGACAAATCAGAACTCTAAATTTTTTTTAAAACAACGCGACTCAAATAATGATTATAGAATTGAAAATATAACATACTTCAACGTATATGATAACCTTTTAAAATAGCTAAGAATCCATTTATTCAGCCATCATTCAGTATACTCTCGTTAAAAAATCAATCTTTATTAATATTTATTTTGATATGTCCAGTGAGTCCAGTTGATGAAATAGACCTCACGAGTGTATACTTATTATTTAAAATTGGTATTAAAACTCTATAATAGAAACATATTATTTTACATTGTATATAGTATAACTACTTAATAATCCGTACTTCTCTATGTCTTTAAAAGTTAATTCGTTCCCAAGATTAAGAAGGCATGTGTAATTGATTTGGGTAACGGAAAATTGAATATATCGGTAAGTTGGAATATCCCCCAAAAAACTTATAAATGGATCGTTGAATTAAATTCTTCCCGTCTTGACAAATCCTCTCTTATACAAGAATACAATATCGAAGTAAAAAATTTTTTTGTTTTATTAGAATCGAAATTCGGAACCAATAACTAAGGAGTCATGATCAATCATATATGTAATGATGATCACAATAATATTTATAATCCACTCAGACACGTAAATGGCATTCTTAGAATAGCCACTCTATATAATTTCTTTGTCATTTATAACTTAGCAGATCTGCCTATCCTCTACATTTGAGTAAACTTAAAACTAAATATCGGATTTTATAAATGTACCTAGACTAATATTAATTTAACTTGCAACATTAACATTTATAAATCCAATAACCTCATCACTACCCTTGTAAAGTACCTCATGATACTTGCTAAATATAACGAATTTTAATGTTTGTCAGTTACTCTTGTAGTGTGTAAAAATACCTATAAGGGAACACATCTCAATATAAACCTAACCAAATTTATTTAGTTTTAACATCGGTTTTTATTCTATAAAAATTTTATTATTTAAAATATTGGTCATGAAAGAATTTAATTTGCAAAATTCAAATTTAATTATTTTGTATGAATTTTGGCACTTTTTATCAAAGTAGCATGTATATGGATGGCATATACTTTCTGAATTTATACATTATTTTAAAAAAAATTTGGATCATTTTATTTGTTTAAATTTATTGTCTGCGTTGATTTTGTTATTGCTATTCTTTTAACCTCGCGAATTTTTGCCAGCGTTTTAAAGACGGCGTTAAAGAATTGAGCAGGGAACGATTCTTAACATGGATCTTTAGTCTTCGATATTGGTTCCTACTCTTAAAATCTTCATGACCACCCACCCCCTTTAATATTGTTTGGACAATTCTTAATTGAACGCCAATTTCTTATATATATATATATTTGTTTTTATTTGAATTATATTATAGCTAGAAGACCAATTCTCATACTTTTAGTAATGTGACACGAAACCTCGAATACAGAATATCGATAAAAGTTTTACTCAAAAATGATTATTATTTCTATCAAGTTTACGTCTGTCATACTCTATTAGTAAGTACTCCTTCCTGCTTCAATAGTTAATCCTAACTAACATGATTCAAAGATAACTATGTTTACCATAATTATATAATTATTATTTATTGGTTTTTAAATGGGATTATGTGTATAATTTACTTTTACAAAAACGTTAATCAATATATCAATATAAAATATTTGATTATATTTTTTTTGTTAATAAATGACGATATAGGCTTGGATCAATTAAGGATCAAATTAGACAAGAATTGAATATATTTATTTAATGGGTTCGGGAAGAGATTTAATTTATAATGTCGTTAACAATTTCTAGGATTGAGGCCTGACTGGCCATGAAAGAAGACGTGCTTTTTACCAGGAATTTTACGATTGTTTTTCATCGGAATTATAAAAAAAATTTCAATGATTTCGGCATAAAAAAAACACTCCCAGAGGAGGTACGTTTCATAGACCTTGAACAATGTGCAGGGATTTTAAGGATTAAATTAGACAAGAATCGAATATATTTATTTAATAAAATAATGATTATTTATCAGTATAGCGTCAATGTTGCTATTTTTGGAAAATTTAAATCATTTTTTGAAGCGCGTTTTTTTTAAATTTAAAAATCTCATCTTACCGGAAATGAATTCCATCATGTTTGGAATACCAATCCTATAAATTTCAGTTAATTTTGCCGTAAACTTTAGAAACTTACAAAATTTATATTTAGATTTTTCCATAAATTTTCTTTATATAAATAATAAATGACTCAAAGGTTAACAGCAGAGTTGTTAAAGGATCTGGATACAAGTATCTAGATCCTGTATCTAGATATAAAAATGTGGTATCTGTATATGTATCTAGATAGATTTTTTATTAAAATATCGGTATCTAGATATTTTTTTAGACGATGTGTCTGTATCTAGATCCATTTAAAAAGTATTTTTAACAACTCTGGTTAACAGCAACATAATACATTAAATTGACAATACCACCCCACGAAACATCTTTTGGCGACTAATGGAAATCTAAAAGGTTCCCTGTGTTCTGGGTCTAGAAATAGGATCACCGTCTCAACTCGACGGGGTGCAAAAAACCTAAAGGGGGGGGGGGGTGATGTCAGGGAAGGTCACCCGATTCTAAAAACCTTGCTACAAAATTTCCTAACGATTAAATCAGAGGGAAAACTGGCCAACCTGGAAATCGCCATTAAACGGAGAAGAAGCGTATAATCAAATATTTGCTACGAATTTTTACGATTGACTTAAAGATTAGAATGCCCTATCTCCTAAACTCTGAGCTCGGCCCCAACTTGAAATTTTGCACATTTATTTAATTAATCTATATATTGAAATTTGAGAGGAAAGGAAATGCCGATTTGATTTTAAGCTCATTTCCGGTTAGGGGGCATTAAGATTTTTAAAAAAAATCTTTAAAATTATATTACCTTAAAGGCCTACCATTAGGTTATTATAAAGAAGTTTAAATGAGGCTTCTAACTCAATTACAATCCAAAGATATCTAAAAATTAAAGGAAGAGTAATTTCCCAAAAATGCCCCATTTTTTGACCTTTATAGGCCCGTATCTCAGCCGCTGTTTGGAGTTGGAAGCTAAAAAGGAAAGGCCCGATTGTAAAAAACCACGCTACATGACCAACCTGGAAATCGCCATTAAACGGAGAAGAAGTACATAATGCAAACTCTTAGTAAAAAATGTTAGAAAAATTTGAGGAAGTCTGGTTGAAACTCCTGTTGATTTTGGTCACTGAATTCACCATATATAAATAAGTTCATTAATCAAATTTTTGAATTAGACCAATGTTCCTTCTTTAAAATAGAAAGACCTAAAAAATATATCCAAATTTTATTATTTATGGTGGAATCATCCAAGAATCCTCCCCCCCCCCTACCCCCAACATGATTTATATAAAAATCTTGGATAACTAGGGGAGCTAAATTAATTTATTTTTTTTGAAAAATATTTCGAGCAGGGTTCTAAATTTTAGTAAATCTATTCAGGGTAGTGTTGCTAGATTACCTATCTTTGACCATCTCTATTGTGTCTTAGAGTCAAGATTTTAGACTAAAAAAAATGTCAATTAAAGCTTCTGAGTTGAGCCCCTCATCTTGAAGATTGATTAGAATATTTCTGGATAAAAATATGGCTAAGCAGTTTTATAGTTGACTAAAGAATAGGTAGTTTAAACAACACTAAATTCAGGGCTAAATATTTGAAATCTTGTCTCTCGTCAAAATATAAAATGACAATTAGAATTCAATTTGCGGATAAGGGAACAACACAATCCATAAACGCGTCGAATATATGCGTATTTGAATTTGGAGTACGCGGATTTCGGACCATTTAGTTCGGCTATAGTTATATTTTATTATTTTACAGATTTCGAGAAGTGCGTGTTTTTTATCGAGATAAAAAAACACAATATTTTTTCTTCTTTACACACAAAAAAAAAATAGAAATATTCAAGGGAAAAATTTTTTTTTTATTGGGCTTCAATTCAGCTCTTATTTCTTCTTCTTTGCCTTTTGGATTTATGTTTCGAATTTTTAGGAATATTGGATTTGAAATTGGGATTCGAAGGATCTAAAGCGTAGTTGGGATTGGAACGAATAGCCAGGAATCTATCGTCGTTTTGATCGCACTTTTTGGATAATAATATAGATAAATATTATTTATATATATAATTAATTAAATATTTAAATGGAGACAATGCTTCTAACTATTCGCAAAAGTTAAAATATCAAGTTTTCCAGTTAAAGTTGTTCTCTATGCATCATTATTAGAGTTACCGCTCATTTTTCAATGTGCCAAATATTTAGAGCTTGCTACCCTCCATCCAATGATATATAATAATACCTAGACTGAGGATGCATTGAAGGCGTTGTTGAATGAAAATCAGCCGGACCCGCCATTTTGGTAACCCATATACCGATAAATTGATAACCTGCTTCATTATTATCTCGCTGATTAAGGCAATTCTTTCATAGATTTTGCGTTAGAGATAGGAATAAATTGACCTCTCGTTTAAAATTTTCAATAATTATATGGGTTAATCAAAATGGCATCCCAGCTGTTTTAATGAATGCAACTAGGTAATATGTCATCGCCTCCCATCTCGTTTAAACTAAACTAAATTGAACCTTATTATGGCCCGTGCCTGTCAATCAACATAAACATGTGTTAAGTAAGCCTAATATTAAATTTCGAAACTATTGTAAAATGGTCGGCATTTAAGATCACTTTTAAGAAAGGCCTTATTTTTAAACGAATAATAATAATCCCAAACATGCAGATGGAACAAACAAATTTTTAACGCTGTTTAGATGTAAATATTTATTATTTAGATTCCTATGATAATTAATTACAATTCATTATACATACGTAAATTTATGGATAGACTCCATTATACATATGCTGCTCGCCTTAATTTGGAACATATGATTTATACATAAAGAATTTAAAATGAAAGAATGAAAAGAAAGAAAGAAAAAGAAAGAAAGAAAGAAAGAAAGAAAGAAAGAAAGAAAGAAAGAAAGAAAGAAAGAAAGAAAGAAAGAAAGAAAGAAAGAAAGAAAGAAAGAAAGAGGTGAAGAATAAAAAATAATATTCAACCTCAAACTCATCATCATCTCCCTCATCATTCTGAATTTCGGCGTCTGTAATTCTTTTCTTTTTCTTCCTGTCGAATTTTCTGGAAACCTTCTGAGGTTCGGCAATATGTTTTTGGTTGGGATCTAAACGCGATAAACTTTCGTTAGTCGAATTCTGGCGCTTTTTTGGTGGGCAACGCTTGTTGGCAGAATTAGCAACGAGATTGTCGTCCATCATTAGAAGTTCTAAATCGGCCTTCGAATGATTGGCACGCATATTATCGTCATCGTCTGAAGAGAGCGAATATTCCTGCGATTTGTATTTAAGAATAATATTTTTTTAGAGTTACAGATGATATTATTGTCAGAGACCTGCAGGCCCGGCCCTAAGCCCGGCGCGTATTTTAATTTTTTTTAAATATACCCGGGCCGAGTTTGAAATCACCATAACCCGGGTCGGGCTGAGCCGAATAAAATCCGGGCCGGGTTGTGCACACGGTACCTCTGCAAGTCTCTGATTATATATAATTATCTGGTTTCTTCTTCTCAAAAAAAAATTACCCGATCTTCTGTACTAGCATTTCGAAACTTCTGCAGTTTCTTCTGTTTCTTCGCCATCTTTTTGGCCTTATCCTTAGCCAAATATTTCTCCCAGGGAGCCATACTTCCTAGGTTCTGTTGCTGCAATTTATTGTCCACCAAATCTTGGGCCATATCATCGAGTTCTATTTTTATTAATTTTTTTTTAAATTAGAAAAAAATTATACAGGAGAGGATCAGATGTGAGTTTGTATCTGTACAATATTTAGAGATCCAAATTAGAAGTTACATTTTACCGCTTTAGTATAGGGGGGGGGGGAGAATAACGCGAATCGCGAATGTTAATTTTTAAAACCGCCACATCTCAACTCGTATGTTGGAAGGGGGGAATTTATTTTTTTTATTTCAGCACTCCCTCTAGATAATTTTTCGGAATGTTCACTGAAACCGGAAACGTTTAGACGGTATTTTCGTTTCTCAAACATCTGTTAATCGGTTCGGGAAAGTTATTCGCACAAATATATTTTTAAAAAAAATTTTTTAATAACCGAATAAACCAAGAATTACCGGGCTCCCAGGTGATTTGCATGACTTTATCCGTGGCATCGGCCATGATTTCCTCGCCATTTTTTTTTCGGTTCTCGAAAAAATCGTCATCGAATTCGTCGTTGGACGAAAGTTCTCCATTTTTGGCGGAGGAGCGAGATGATCGATCCGGCAAATCTTCCCCTTCCTTCCCGCCCAAAACTCCTTTCAATAATCGCCGGTATTTGGCGTATTTGTCCTCTCTTTTTGACACATCTTTCGCCGAGGAACTGTCGCCTAGAGGGAAAAGGGGGGGGGATTTAATTTTTTTTGAAAAATAAGCAAAAAATCGCTAACTTAGTAACCTGAAGATTTTGCTCGTAAGATGGAACGAAGTCTTGGAACATCTACATTTTTTTTTTCTGGCTAAAATATTGAGTCAGCCGTTTTTTTAGAAATCGTACCCAAACGGGAGCGAGTTTGTAAATCACTACAATTCGATAATATGCAACTTTCGGAAAACCGATCTCACAACCGGTTAGTTTGTTATGTTTGAATAAATTTATATTCCCCTAACTCCGGATAATTTATTTTTTTTGTTTACAAAAAAAAAACAAATATGGCGTGGGCAAGTGTTGTTATAAAACCCCGGTTCGGGCCGATTTTAAAAACCGGCCCGATAGACCTGAAGATTTTGCTCATGTAACTGGCAGAAATGCTTGGAACATCTATTTACCCGATACTCGGTGCTCACATAATATTATTTTAGCTAATATCTTAATCGGGCCGTTTTGAAAAAAAATCGACTTCAAATCGGCCTTTCTAACAACACTAGGCCAGAGTTGACAGGAACGAGACTCGCCCAATCAATCGCCATCCGGGCCAGGAAGTCACAGAAGCGCTACCTCTACCCCGTACAGGAGGAAGTCAAGAGCCCCCACACTAGCGCCACCGCTGCCGATCATGCGGTGGTTAGTATTTCCATGACTGTAATAGTATGGTGTCCTACTACATCCCCTATATACTAAAACTTAGTCAAAGGTAATTGTTGAATGATATTAAAAAATAATTCTAATAATTACATCTCACAACAACATTTTAATTCATTAAATATATGATTTTTAAACCATCACTTTATTATTTTTGTAGCTTACACAAAGGGGAATCAAAAAAAAAATTGATTGACATTTTTTTTGATATTCGACACAAAACTTGTAAAGATCGTCATTTGATAATTGTATAAAATTAAATATAAAATATACGAATCTACATTTAAACATTATTTGATTGACATTGGATATTATACAAAGTTATTATATATAATGTAAAAATACACAATTACAATAGATACGATAACACAATTAAAAACACAGATAGAAAGAAAGAAAGAAAGAAAGAAAGAAAGAAAGAAAGAAAGAAAGAAAGAAAGAAAGCAGTTTTTCAATGATGATTCCACTATTAAAGTCTCCATAATTCATTCCTATTTTCAATATCCTAATTTTCAAATTTAATTACTTTAAATAATTCATCATCAGAATAAAAAAATATATTCAAAAATTCCAAACACGTTCATTTGTTTAGACCAAATTTTTTGTCATAAAAATTATTATTTCTCGATATTCCCCATGAAAAATAGGAATTTGAAACTCAAAAAAAAAATATATAAATTTTTGGATCTTTCTGAAATTCTATACCATCGAAATATCGGATTGAATTGATGCTAAAAAGATGGGAGCAGTGTAAACTGGTGATCTACATTGGGCCTAATTTTTCAAACCCGGCCCGGCACTAAATTCCGAAACCCGTTCGGGCCGGGCCTACTTGTCTCTAGTGTAAACCTTCTAGAAGAAAAACATAAACCGGACAACTTCATTTTTGAAAGCAATTTTTAATTTCATTGCTTTAGACTCACAAGGAAAATAATAATTTAAAAGCGTGAAGGTCAACCTTTGCTATCATTTGCCTCGGTGATCTTCGTCATTGCATCTTCTTCGCAATCGTACCCAGATTCGGAGGAGTTTGACGAAGGGGGAGCCAGAAACATGCCCAGATCTTTCAGTTTATCGCAGGATTCCATCCGCCCCTTCGATTCGTTTACCGCCGTATCGGGAACGGAAGCTGACTCAGGACCGAACTCCAAAAGGTTTTGCAAGAGTAAGGCCTTTTCTTTCCTTTTCTGTTTGCCGCTGTTCTTGCTTTTGCCTACCTAATGAGAGAAAAAATAATTAACATTTATTTCTCTATTCCTCGGTATTTATATATTTGTTTAAAACCCTGATTTCGTCTTTTCCCGTGGAATATAACGATGACAATTGTTTATTTAGTATCAACTGACGTGTTGGGTCCTGGTTATCCCAGGTTAAGTCGAAATTCGTCTGGCTTAAGCAGGGGTTAGGAACCAACGGGAGTGACTCGTTTGTTCGAATCGAAGGGATGATGGACATTTGCCAATCAAATCGGGAAAGAATATCGGATTCCGGATTATCGGCGGAAGTGTGGAAAGTGGTCTCCTCTGGGACGTATCTAATTTGCAAAAAAAAATATCGTAAAAATATTGGAGCGACTATTTAGGGTTGGGTTACGAGCAAAAACCATGCTAATTATTTATAATTTAGAGTTGCCAGAATTTAATTCTAGGGTTTCTTACGAGTACGCCTCTCCCTTCTGACGGCAGTGGTCAGCTCTTTTTGACCATAAATTTTTGGGGAAAAATTTACGATATCATAATTTTAAAAGCGATAAATTAAGTAGGTTTAGGGTGTTTATCAGAGGCCCTTTTTGCTCAAAAATATCTTTTTATTTGGCGTAGAACGTTAATAATCAAAGTATAAAATCTTTTTTACTGCTTTATTCAGATGGAACATTTTAACAATAATACCCATTACAACTATACTCAAAGGTGATGTATGTTATGCAAATCGTTTATAGCGTGAGTTATATAGAGTTAGGTACTAAACTCCAGGGAACATGGGTTTAATATATTTTACTAAAAGGCGCTAAATAAAACTAGAAAGGTCAGTTTTATAATTCTCGGGTAACAGGTCCTTTTAGCGAAATATCTCGAACCAGGAAAGTTTTTCTCCAAAAGAAGAACATCGGTAAAAAATAAAAATTAGATATAAAAATATATTCTTCACACCAAATTTAAGGTCCTTTATGACCTCGAGGGTTAAAACGCCATTCACGTTCACATTGCCCCTGTCAATCACTCTATCCATCTCCTCCCCCCTCCCTTCCTTAAAAATCGAAAGAGAGTTTTACTAAACCCTTATAACCTGAGATCTATTATATTAGATGTTTTCTCGAATTCTAATCCGTTGCACTCGTCGTATATATGTTGCGCGGTGTCGATAGTGTCGCACTCCACGATGGCGTACGCGTATTTCATGCTAAAACATATGTTTTTTTGAAAAAAAAGACATATTCATAATCTAATTGTCCGATCGATATTTGCGTTTTTTCGCGGTGACCCGCTTAAAAAAATATACTTTAAAAAAAACGCCCTAAATGTCTCAAAAGCTGTTTAGAGATGTCAAAAAGCTGTCAGAGATCTCAAAAGTTGTTTAGAAATGTCAAAAGCGGTTTAAAGATCTCAAAAGTTGTTTAGAGATCTCAAAAGCATTTTTTTTCGCATGCCTCAAAATAATATAATTAAAAAAACGCTAATTTGCAAATTATCCAAAAAAAATAAAATCAAAATCTTATTTTTTTTTGATATAAATCGATTTCCGTTTCCTGTTTAACTCACTATTTTTTAAATATCATTTGATTGCTAATAACGCGACATGTCAACGATGTGCGGTAGTTATTTAAGATCTGTTTGGATCTAAATCTAAAAAAGGGTTGGAGAAATAAATGGTCATCAATGGTATGTCCCAGGATGTACCGAGCTTCGTCGAAAGGCGGTGGTCACCCCTGTTTGAGTTGACGTGGAATTGAACATATCTAAGTACACTATATATCAAAGACCCACAGGTTGATTCCAAGAACCCGGCCCCGAATATAAATAGATCGATTCCAATCTTAAGTCATCTTCAAAACCCAATACTGGGAACTGGGTTGAAAATCGTGAAAAGGGAATCAATGTGACATTTCATTTTGCCATCACTGATTCTCAATTTTCCCTTTTTGAGACAATTTACAAAATGGGAGAACAAAATCAATTTTAAAATTTGGCAAATTTTTTTATAATTTAGGCCAGGCGAAAATAAAAAAAATTAAGAATTCCAGGCAATCTCGTGAAAATTAGAAAAAAATGATAAAAAGAAAAAGAAATAGAAGACAACAAATGGATAAGAATGGAAAAGAATGGAATGAAAAAACGTGCATAATTTTTACGTGTTTATTTGATATCTCCTCAATTTTTCGATGTCAAAATTTTCCGCTTCGCTTTCGTCATCCTCGCTACCTGTTGTGCGTTTATTATTCGTGTGATTTATAAGAGATATATGGGAGAAATATTTTTAAAAAAAAAAAATTAGGGCTCTCGAAATATAAGAGACACGTAATAGACTAATACGTAATCATGCATAGGCCGAAAGCCAAAAACTCGATCCGATTTTATGGATATCGAATACCGAATAGCAGTAATTCGATTCGAGTAACCTTTAGAATATCGAAACATCTGTTCCATCCATAATTTACATCCCTTAATTTTCCTAGTAAATTTCTTTTTTTATCAAGTTAGGTTATATCCTAATTTAATGCATTAGAAAAGAAGTGGGATGGAAGGAAAAAAAACAAAGAATGTTAAATTTTTTTTTAAAATAAAATTTACAATTATATCACGAATCACCCCTCAATTTTTTTACCCTATTAAAAACCTAATCAAAATTATATTTTAAGCTTGTTTTTTTTGTTGTTTTCTATATGTTTTTTTAAATAAAAAAAAACTTATTGTTTTTTTTATATATATCCCCAATTAGAATTTAAAAAACAAAAAAAACACAAGTTCGCACAAATACTCTTTATAAATGTTTTACCTTATAAAAATTAACAATTCAAAATTTAATCGAAAGACCTAAATACCTTATAGTAGATTCAAAAAATGATATGCATTTTAGATTTAATATTTTGCTATGTATATAGGGCTATGTCTAAACTTGTCATCCTAACCCTAACCTAAATCCCTTATAGATTCAAAAATGATAGATACCTTAGATTTAATATTTTGCTATGTATAAGACTATGTCTAAATTTGTTCTACCCCTAACTCTAAATACCTTATAGAATCAAAAATGATATATACACTTAAGATTTAATAAAATGCTATGTATAAGGCTATGTCTAAACTTGTCATCCTAACCCTAACCTAAATATAGATTCCAAAATGATAGATACCTTAGATTTATTTTGCTATGTATAAGACTATGTCTAAACTTGTTCCAACCCTAACCCAAAACCAAAATCCCTTATAGATTCCAAAATATAGATACCTTAGATTTAATATTTTGCTATGTATATAAGGATAGTTCTAAACTTGTCATCCTAACCCTAACCTAAATCCCTTATAGATTCCAAAATGATAGATACCTTAGATTTAATATTTTGCTATGTATAAGGACTGTGTCTAAACTTGTTCTAACCCTAACCCTAAACCAAAATACCTTATAGAATCAAAAATGATATATACACTTTAGATTTAATATTTTGCTATGTCTAAACTTGTTCTACCCCTAACCCTAAACCTAAATACCTTATAGAATCAAAAATGATATATACACTTTAGATTTAATAAAATGCTATGTATAAGGCTATGTCTAAACTTGTCATCCTAACCCTAACCTAAATCCCTTATAGATTCCAAAATGATAGATACCTTAGATTTAATATTTTGCTATGTATAAGGACTGTGTCTAAACTTGTTCTAACCCTAACCCTAAACCAAAATACCTTATAGAATCAAAAATGATTTATTCACTTTAGATTTAATAAAATGCTATGTATAAGGCTATGTCTAAACTTGTCATCCTAACCCTAAACCTAACCCCCTAATGCCTTTAAGAATATAATAGTTCCAACTTGATTCTTTGTGGAGAGCCATAAATAAAAAAAAGGAAGGAGATAGAATTAATTAAATATAAAACTAAACTCGTCTTTTTCGCGGGCTTGTTTGCCGCATTACCCGGTTTAAACAGCTGATCCATGACCGCGAAAGGTCCCTTAGCGTCCTCTTCCGCCTTCATCCTTTTGCCGTACTCCGATCTGTATATCTATATTTTTTTACATATATATTCAATTTGTCGCGTTTCAGACATTTAAGTATCAATTTACGGCGATCGCGACGAATCGCAAAATAATTAATTCAATTCCATAGTCTTTATATTTTTATCGCGATCCCTGAGCGTTACGCGATGTCTTCACTGTAAATTGAAACCTCGGTAAAATTGTAAACATTTAAAATAACGATGTTTATAAGTTAGTGTTGTTAAAAGGCTCGTTTTGAGCCGATTTTTAAAAGCAGCTAACTCAATATCCAGAAAAATATAGCCTAAGCCTTAAGATTCCGATGATATATGTTCAGAACCTTCGCTTCCTTCTATGAGCAAAATCTTCAGGTCTTGCGTAATATTTTTCTAGGTGAAAAAGGACCTCATTATCCCGGTTTATTATAACCACTTTAATAACAACTCCAAGCGTGCCGAATTAACATAAAATCTGTATCCGGTCATTTACCAAGGCATTCTCGCATTCGAAAAATTTATCGTCAGATAAATTATTTTATTTAAAAAAACTGTAAATACGTGGTTATAAATAATAGAGATCAGTTTTAAATTATAAAATATCTTAAAATATGAGGATTCGTTTGAATGTAAAAATTATTTCCCCCTATCTGATTTTTTAAAAATTCTTTAAGTAATTTTGATATTCGATCCGGCATGGAGACTAGGAAATATATTTTTTAAAAGGCCATGAATTGCACCTACATTTTATTAACAATTATAGCAACACCGGTTAGCTCTGTAGAACTATAAATGTGTGTATTACATGATAAAATATTTAAATGTAAGTAACGTACAAATTTTTTTTAAAAAAATGTGATGGAAGTTTGCGTGTGTAAGCATGATAATGGAAAAACATAATAATTATTATTCAAATGTGACATATAAATTGAACTAACTGTGACATTTTTGACAATCCCTCCAGCTGGCTTGATCGAATCGAATAACAGGAATAGGTCTTTCGCATTAATCAATTCCCAAGTCATGTTGCAAACTGCTAACCTGTTAGTTGTCTCACCAATTTCTGGACAATCAGCATCGAGTTCTCCCCATTTGTGATCAATGTAATCTCAAATTTAGTTTCGAATAAAATACTAAAAATCATGCTAATAATATAGTCAAGGGATCCAAACCTTAGAACCTCTAAATCAAACCTGAACTGTTATAAATAATTCTAAAATCTGTAAATCTGTATGGATCTTTCGATATCGTATATTTTTTTAAACATTAACTTATTTTGATTTTGAAGTTAGGTATCAGTGATTGTCTTTGTATATTGCTATTTGAATGTGCCATAATATAATTTAAGAGAAGATAATCTTAATAATATTTAATTGTGTAATGGCACAATATTAATTTTAATGGATAGTGATAAATTAGATAAAGAATGTGTGTTTCTTTACATAATTCTAATAAGCCTCAATCTAAAAAAAGGTTTAAACAAGTTTTTTAAATCGTCAAACCAAATACTATCATTTTTTTGATAAATAAGCAAACTTACACCATTACTTGTTATTAAACTTAAATCTGAATCAGAACATGCTTAGGTTCATTATTCTGGCATTTGTGATCATATATATTGGAGATAGGGTTGTTAAACAGCTGATTTGTAAAAATGGTTAGCACAATAGTTTACCCAGAAAAATATTGCCTAAGTCTCAAGATTTTGCTTATAAGATCTTCAGGCTCCTGTAATATTTTCCTAGATAAAATAATGAGTTGGCCCTTTATAAAAATCGGATTGAATTGAGCAATTTATCACCATTATTTAGAAAATCTGCAGAGTCCAGGATTTTGAGCCAGATGAATCATGCACAATATATATATAGGCTAGGCTGGTGTTAGAATTTCCCAAAATTTATAAACTCTTTATTTTTATAAAATATATTATGAGTTGTAAAAAAATATTTTACAAGCCATGCAAATAAATTTATAGGATTTATTAAAAAATATTTACATGCTGGTTCAGGCATATTTCTAATATATTATTAGTTGCCGGATATAATCAGAACTCTCATAAGGGGGGGGGGGGGGGGGGGGTCTTTTCTCCCATGAAATGAGCTTTAAGCCCTTATGTTTGGCAGGGTTAATTTAAAAAAATATATTAATAATTTTGAGTTTAGATGATTACTATATTTAAAATGCCATTTTAATTTTTTTTTAGTGCCCCAACTTTTGACTGCATCTTTGCCAATTGCAATCATATTTAATCAAGATTGACTAAGATGAAAAACAAACCTTCAGATAGAGAATCATCACTATCCGTTTGAGTGGATTCTGATTCTGATGGAGAATCATGTGTAGAATGAGATCCAGGCGATTCAATTAATTTTAATGCTTTATTATCTGTTTTAGGATATTTAACCGAACTGTCTATTGCATCATCAGTCTCTGATTCTGTATCGATTTTGTAATACCTTTTCATGTCTTCGTTCGATGTTAGGTTAACATCTCTCCCCCTCTTGTCCATTGTGCCTTTTATTTTAAACTTTTCATCTGTGAACATGCCCTTGAATCGTTTATCAATCTTAATTTTATTAGCCTTAACTGACATCCTCTTGAATTTTGGATTGTTATATATGTGAGAAAACCTATCATCTTTAAGAATCTATAAATTATATAAGAATCATTACAATCTAGAGCTAGATTACTTTTGGATCCATGCTGACTTATGAATGAATGTCAGCAATTAAAATTATTTACAAAAGAACACTTTATTGGAGGTATTTAAATTTTTTTTTTAATTCCTTTTATTATTCATTTTAAAATAATGTCTAATATAAACAATTTAATTAAAAAAGAAAGTTGTCATTGAATTTCTAAGGAAACCAAATAGTTGTCTCAAAACACTGGGCTGATTATTAAATTTAAAAGATCTACGATCTAATCCCCATTGATTTAAGAAATCTTTAACCCAAAAATTTAATTTTTCTTGATGGTAGACTTTTGCCAAGTTTAAATGATTGTTACTTTCAACTTAAATTGTTTTGTTATATATCCGAAGGATATGTTATTATTTTATCATTTTCGATTGTGTTATTACTAACGCGTTGAGATAATTGTATCCTCAAGATACATTTTTAATGATTGATTATATTAACAACATTATATTTTTATATATATTTGAGATGAAGAAAAAAGATATTCGTTTTTAAAATGTAGTTTAAAAATTGGGATGATTAAATTTCAACCAAGGCCCCCTAGTTTTACAATTAAACAAAGATAAATATAGATATGTAGTTTTCGTATAATCTTAATGCTATCAAATTTAAGAAGACTAGAGATCATTTAATATGAATAAAATATTGATAATCATATTATCGTTAAACGATACAATGATTATTAAAATTAAATGATCTCTTACATTTATAAGACAAGAGTAACTTGTAGAAATTTCATTAATGTGTAATTGATAATATGAGATGAAAATTGATGTAATCTAAAAAATAAAGAAAGGATTAAGTGAAATTTTAGCCTGAATCTTCTTATTCACATTATTTATTTCATTCATATTTAGAAAGTTGAGGGAATATTGTTTATATCAATACAAAGAAGATTTTTCAAATCTCTCAATCCATATTAGGTATGTGCACCATCAATTCTCGAAATTCCATTCATCAGTTTGTATAAAATAAATAAATAAAATAAACAAATAAAAAAAATAAAAATAAATACGTACCGATGACATGACGTAGCGATGACATCACGTCACGAGGACGTAGTGTGGACATCGGAAAATTATAATATAGATATGATCGTTTTAGTATAATTAATGAAACCACATTTAAGGAGGATATATTTGTACCCCTTATATCCGCCCAGCTGACTAACTCGGTTACAACATCGGGACAATTCGAGTTTAAATTTGGAGTTGGACCGAAATTTGCAGCTAGAAATAAAAAATTTTTTTACCATATGGCAAACTTTCTGAATTATTCAGGCTAATGAGATAATTATATGTCAAAGATTCAGGCCCACCCATCTTTTGATATAATTGCAATATATTAAACAAATTACATATTTTATTAATTAAATATGCTTATTTATGTGAGTTTGCAAAGTGAGCTAAAAAATGGATTATGATATATGAGTTTTATAAGCAAAATAGTTAACTATTTTATATTACATATATAATTTTGATACGCCTAATATTAAACCTATGATTAAATATAGAACAATCATTTTGCTATTTTATCAGGAATTTATAGTAATATCATTTTTGACACGATTTTTGTGTATTAAGGGTTTGAACGGGATTCAAGTAATAGCTTAGACGAGAAAGGAATATTGAAAATGTTATTTTGGCCCAAATTCTAGGATTGAAACTTCTATATAATAATTTTAAAAAATATTTTATTAATTCTCGCAATATAGGCTTTTGCTTGTTTGCATTTACAATCCACCTTCTAGAGATCTGCAAAGGTAGACCCTGCCCAAACGAACTTCGGGCCAGGACTGGGCCTAATTTTTTTAAAAAAACCGGGCCGGTGTCGGGTCGGTTCTTGGAAATTTTTTTAAAATATATTATCAATTTTATATAGAATTTTTTATGTAAAATAAAAATATCTGATTTTATTTATAGAAACTAGACACCATATAACATATATCTTCAGGAATTTATAGTAATAGCATTTTTGACACTTTTCTTAACCGAGGTTTTAGGCAATAATTTCAGAGAATATTGAGTTATTAATCAAGCTCTTTTTTTTGGAGTTGTCAATTCCGATCAGATGCAAGATCCGTCAAATATGTATTCGTGGGATAAAGACTGATCGTGATCTTTTTTTTTCTCCCTTAAGATATTTATCTCCTTTTTCCATAAAGGAAAAATCAAAATTTATAATATTCTCCGTATTCTTTCATAAAATCGCAAATAATATATCGCATCTTACCAAGATGGAGTCCTATGTTTCGGACAAATATTATTTTGATAGAGCCGGATATATGGCATGTAGTTTTTTTGGATAAACTTCCTCCTCCGCTACGCCCCTCCTAACGCCTCTCACATAGAAAATTTGATGGACCCTTATCTTAGAAGCTTCTAAAATTTCTTATAACATCTTGTAAATTTTTTTCTTCCAATTTAAAATGCATACAAAAAAAACATATAAAATATTCTTTACATTTATACCAGAATTTTAGTTCCTTTATAAAAGGTTGAAGGTTTGAAACTATCTATTTCCGAGTGTGGTGTATCGATTACTTCCTAGGATTTATTATTTAAAAATCACAAAATATTTTTAAAAAATACTAAAATACAAGGTATGATCAAAATTCCTGCTGGAGGCATTCTCGAAAAAAAAATCTTCAGAGAGATGAAGGATCTCTGAGGATTTGAAGAGCATTTTCAAAGTCAGTCTGGATTAGTATTTATTAATTTTTTGGAAGACCACTCCGACTATATCGTTCTCCAGAACACTGGAAAGTTCAAGAATTCAACAATAATTGATTATAAATTCAAAAATATTACTAAACTAACATTTATTGAGAAAAAAAATCTAATAGTAATCAACAATTTTTTTTAGCGCCACAATATATTATTATTGGTTTTAGTTTGAAATATAACTAATTTTTTATAAATACATTATAGATGAAATATTGCATTTGTCCGAAAACGTTGTAACTACTTCATCAGACTCCCATTTCATTTCTATTTTTGAAGATTCATCGTCATTTAGCTCGAGAGTGTAAACGTAAGGAATATAAATGCCAATCTCGTGAATATATTCTGTAAGCTGTCGGATCTTCTTTTCGTATCTGTAAATGGTGGTCTCGTCACATTTTACCGTTATAGTTGCTACTAAATAAAGATTAGTGATTGACGTGAACTGTATCCCAATTATATACATTTGATAACAAAAGGTAAACGGCGCCATTTCGAAATTTGATTGCCATGTGGCAGTTAGAAAGTATTCGTAACAATTTATAGAACCGTAATCATTGTCGGGAAAAGACATTCTTTTAATCAAAATATCTATCATTTCAGAATCGTCGATAATTTTGCGTTCACGAACTAATTGCCTAATATCTAAGCCATTGAAGTATAAAATGTAATCGGAAATGAGATAGAATTGGTTCTCCGATAATTTGGAGACTATGTTGCTCGAATTGTCGGGTATTCGGCATTTGATACATTCATTTTTGGCCCATTTTACCAAAAATTCGAAAATAATTTGTTTAGGAAGCAATTTTTCGTCATTTAAAAACGCGATATATTTTTGTATCATATGAATAGGGGAGGTTATGAAAATCTTTGAAGCGAATAGAACATACCTACAATTTAATTTTAGACGCTGAAAAAATTAATGAATGTCACATCAGATATAATTAATCTATGCTAACACATTTAACCTCGAGACAGATTCCGCTATCTATTTCCGGGTGAATTGACGACGCCAAATATAATTTCAAAGCCCGACAACGATCATCTGTTACTCTATTCATTTCTGCGACACATTTCGAGATCAGATCCTTCAGCATATATTTTTTCGCTCCGCCTAAAATTTCCAAAAGTATATCAGTATCCATATCTACGAAATCGATTTCGCCCGTATATATGTTCCTTGGGGGACGATGGTGGGGGTAAAAATAAAGTTCAAAATTTATGTAAAAAAGATTTATACTTCAGAATAATCTCGAAAGCTTTGAATGACAGATCCGCAACGCGTACGCGATTGTCCGCAAACTCTCGACTGCCATAAAATATAGCGTAAAACATTTCACTCTGATATGACAGAATATGTTTATGAGCGTACAATATGTTCTTTTCAACCTTTAAAGAAAGAATAATTATGGCAGAAAGGGAAATATAAATTTTAGTATAAACCTCGAATCTAACATCCGACATGTAGGAACTGTTATACTGACTTCCGAAAGTTTTTGTGGGAATACTCAGATCTTTAAAACTTTCTATCATTTTCCCTATTATAAAAAGAAGATAAAAAAAAATTAAAGTGTGTAAGAATATAAAATTAATAATTAATTTATTTCATTCTCTTCACAGGAATACAAATAATATATGATATATAGGTGTCAAATTGGATTAATATAGGGTTAAATTTAAGCCTTTTACCTTGTATAAATTACTTAGGTTGCGAAAAACTGTACTTCTCATGAATTTTTGCATGAATACTATCAATTTATTAACTAAAACTATAAGCCTTCAAGTCTCATTGGTTAAATTAAATGGCTTGACCTTTATACTTAGTTTAAGTTAAACGGATGATACAAAAGTGCTGATATATCTTAAAAAAACAAAATAATATATTATTTTGTTCACATTTATGAAAATATTTTTTGCCCTAATGGAAAAAAAATTTGAATATCACCCATAAAAATAATCATAAAAACGAAATATTTTAAATGAATGAACGGGTTACGCTGTACTTATAAGTTAGCGCCGCGATTTTCTCAAGCGGGGGCTAAAATAATCGCTAGCGAAATCACAGCTTATTCGTCACAGCTATAAAACATTTTTGATATATATCACAACAGCTGTCGTTTTTTTACATTTTAGGGGCTAATAAATCCCACATAAAAGTACGATAAGGATATATAATAAAAAAAATACTTACAGGTTTAAATGAGGTAGATTTATCAACACTAGATCGGGCAAGAACGGACTTCTTTTGATCTTTATATAAGGATAAACTTAAATTTAAATTTAAAAAAAAAATTATAT